CGTCCCGATCAAGACAATGAACGAATTTTCCGTCCTGATCAAGACAATGACCTGATTTTCCTTCTTGGATCCCTAATGAAACTTGATGACTCAAGTTGTGGAGTGGCCATGTTCTGACTTTTGATGGATTTTTTAGTTTTTAACCCACGATCTTCTCTCGTGCCACGATGCACGATGTTTCTTGTATCTTGTCTCGCTTGTGTTTTTGTTATTGTTCCTCTGTTTTCCATTGTGCTTTTTTTTTTTAATCGTTCCTCTTCAATTAAGTTGAATGTAATATTTTCCCAGTTGTGTTTTTGTTATTGTTCCTCTTAAATTAGGTCTCACCTTTTTCGGCTGAGCTGAGCCCCGGGTGGAAAGAGAATTGTATTTCATTAGAAAGAGAACCCAGGAACATCTGAATTGTAAATAAAGATAATTGGAAATCTGCAAAGATCTGAGAGATATGGTTTGTAGGGGGGTGTTATGGGATAAAGACTTTTTAAGGTTGTGACAGATGAAAAGAGACAAGATCTAAGCGGGGGAAAAAAAAAAAGAAACTTTGTAAATTCCACGACTCCCTAAGGAAAATCTCCTGCTAATTCATTCCTCCACAGAAATCTGGTTTATCTTGCTAATTCCAGATTTTTTTTAAAAAAGGGTGTGTTAGTTACCAAACTGCCCTATTTAAATCACATTTTCACCCCCACAGTTGCACTGGTAAACATTCAGAGCAAGGACTATGTCAACAGAACCGGAAAACCATCAAACAGGAAGAATTTTGTGAGGTTTGTTTGTGGGGGGGGTTGGTCGGACTGATCCAGCATGGTCGGTCCCCTCATAATATGCCAAGAAAACCAGGAACAAATCAGGATCTGGTGGACACCACGCAGGAAGTTTCCTTAGCCTTTCGATCTGGCCTCACTTCTGCGTCCGTTCACACATTTGTTTGGGAAGCATCTGAAAATCCACTTCCAATTTTGTATGTTGGGGTAATATTAGTTTGCTAACATCCGAGGCCCTAATAGCCAGCCTGATCATTTGTTTAGTTTGAAGTTATGACTTAGAACCATTTTTCACATTTACGATGGCATCCCCATGGTCATGTGACCAAAATTCAGATATTCGGCAAGGGACTCATATTTACAACCGTTACTGCATCCTGGGGGGGTGCGGCGGTTTGTCACTCGATCCCCTTTTGCGACCTTTCTGACAAGCCAGATTCGCTTGACAACTGCGTGACTAACTTAAGTGTAGTGATTTATTTATCAACGGAGGCAAGGAAGGTTGTAAAACGAAGCAAACCCCGCTTAACACAGGGCTTGCTTAGCAACGGAGATTCGATTGCAGTCGTAAGTTGAGGCCTACCTGTATTCCCCTTCTCCCTGAAGTTTGAGGGTTGTGGAAGTGACCAAGAATTTTTTTAATCTCACTTTCTAAGAGAAGATCTGCGTCGTTCTTTTCAAGCGACTGCAGCTTAGACCGACGCATTCTTTGCAATTCCTCCTGGCACAATGCCGTCAGAAGGCGCCATAAACAGAGCCAGGGTAGCCTTGGAAAAGCAGGTTAGGCCACCATCATCCGCCACCCACATCTTGAACTTCAAGGAAGTGTTTCTTAATGTCTTTTAGGGTTTGCAGGATTTCATTCCGCCCAGCTAGGTTTGGGAAGCTTCTGCATCGTGGTAAGTCATGGGCCGTGTGCGTCGGGCTTGGATTTAGGGTTGAAACGGCGGATTTTGGAGCAGAGAAAAGATTGTACAGGGAGGAGGAAGAGGAGGTGGAGGTGGAAGAGGAGGTGGAGGAGGAGAATTTAAGCAATTGGGGAGAATGCAGTCATGAAACTCACGGCTCCCCCTGTTTGGACATGATCGGCCCAAAGGATTATTTCTGCGGACCGCAATCCTGGTATTCCTTGAGTTTCGACCAGATCTGTCTTTGCTAAATGAGACAATCATTAAGGGTGTTTGCCCCATTCTACGGGTTTTCTGGCCACTGTTGTTAAGCGGATCACTGCAGTCATTAAGTTAGAAAGCACGCTGGTTAAGGGAATCTAAGTTGGGCTTGGGCTTGTCACAAAAGAGGAATCGCATAAACCCTGGCATGTTGTGGTCGTCATCCATTTTGAGTCGATTGCCAAAACATCTGAAGGTTGATCGCGCCAACATGGGGGGAGGCGGCGATGGCCGTTAAGTGGGACAAACGGTTGTGGAGTCACATTTTCCTGTGCTGTTGTAACTTTGGCCGCTAAATGAACTGTTGCTAGTCGAGAACGACCGGCATCCCCTGATTGAATACAATCAGCCCAAAGGATTTTATTTTTATTTTTATTTTTGATCTTGGAGCTGCAATGCTGTTTACGAGACACACACAGAAGAACAAGATCTCCTCGCAGAGAATTAATATTGGGATTTAATGCGCGGCAATTACGTTAATTACATCGATGCCTCTATTCCTCATCAGCCTGTTTTAGGATCAAAGAAACCATCTTTACAGCAGCTTGCAAACTTGTAAAGCAAGATTATATTGTTTGAAATTCAATATACAGCCTGAGAAGAATTAAGAGAAGGAAGCTAAGCAAACATTCGAAGTAGTTTTCCCTTGTCAAAAACCAACTTTCGATAGTTATCATTTCCTGGCCTCAAGGTTCAAATGCCCTTTCTTTCTTTCTTTCTTTCTTCCTTCCTTCCTTCCTTCCTTCCTTCCTTCCTTCCTTCCTTCCTTCCTTCCTTCCTTCCTTTCTTTCTTTCTTTCTTTCTTTCTTTCTTTCTTTCTTTCTCATCCTTTCGACTGCCCTACTTGTATAGTTGTTGCTCCAACTCCAGATAATTAGATTGATGCTTAAAATTGATCCGCCCGGCAGGTCTGAACGCGTCTTTGAAAACAACCCATCTCTTCAAGTAGGTCACCCTTCCCATGCCCAGAATTTAGATTAGAAGGAAGATAGGCTGGGCTAGCTCGAGTCACCTTAAGACCAGACGTTGAGTTCCTGTCCATGGCGTTGAGTTGGGAGAGGACCGGTTGAGCTTCTTCGAAAGCTGGCATCTCCAGAGATGAGAAGGGGTTGTATTTTTCCTTGACAAGGATCCTCAAAGCTTGGCCACCACCCAAGGAGGTATATAGGAAAAGATCAGACCATGCCATGAGTCAACCCTGGCTCCATCTTCTTGTTCTCCACCTCTCTCTCTCTCTCTCTCTTTTCTCTTGCAGGAACAGGAAGCAGCTGTGAAGGTGACACCTTGTTGGGTGAGGACACAGAAAACTAGAAGACCTCAGTGTTGTCTTGACTCCCAGTTCTTCTCCTTAGCTTCCATCCATCCTTTCTTCTCCACCAGACACCTGGACAGATCTCCCAATATGTCCAGGCTGCTCAGAGCCTTCACCGAGATGATTGAGGGCAACTCCAAGGTGGCTCCACGCAAGTCCACGGACGCCGAGCCGTTGAAAAAGAGCGAGTTCAAAACTCTCATTCAGAAGGAGTTGACTACTAGCAAGGTAATCTGAGGGGTTTTTTTTGAATTCATGTGTCAAAGGGTAGCGGGACATTCGTTAGAGGAGAATATTTATGGATCAGGGTTGAACTGCGGGCTCTTGGCACTCTCTGGACTTGGTGGTTTTCTTCCAGACATTTCATTACCCAAACTAGGTAATGTCATCAGTGCTGTGTGTGTAAGAAATGGTTTTGAGGGAAGTTTTGAAAGGGCAAAGGAGAAGAGGAGGTCGGCGTGAAGGGACCAGAAGAAGGATGTCACGCGATTTCAAAGAAGCAGAAGTTTTGTAGAAAGTCATGGATCTTCTCCAAAAGAGGAATTTCACTCGGGTAGGTGAACGAGTTATTGGGTGCATCACCAGAAAAATTAGGAGATACCAATGGAGACAGGAAGAAGTGGGTCCCACTTCCTGGACTTTGGGTAGAGAGAACCTCCCCCACAAACCTGCCCCAAATAATAGGCTGGAAACCTATTTACTTCGACTGTTGGTCGTTCCTTGATTGATTGATTACAGACTATCAAGTTGTTAATGAGGAGGAGGAGGATTATTTTTTAAAGGTTATATTCGATGTGATTGTGGGGTCTGGCCTGAAGACTGGCCTGGAAGAGAGGGGGATTTTTAAAATGTTAAAATTCATCTTCAGCTTGGATTGAATTCATGTGTCAAGGGGTAGCGGGACATTCGTTAGAGGAGAATATTTATGGATCAGGGTTGAACTGCGGGCTCTTGGCGCTCTCTGGACTTGGCGGTTTTCTTCCAGACATTTCATTACCAAAACTAGGTAATGTCATCAGTGCTAGAAGGGAGAGGGGGTTTCGGAGAGGTGGAGGTGGTGGAGGAAGAGGAGGAGGAAGAAGAAGAAGAAAACTGTGGGGGTTTTGGAGCCATCTCAGCTTAGTTTGTTTGCAGACATTTCATTACCCAGCTAAGTAACATCATCAAT